TATATAAAGTACTGCGCTTTGGCATGGAGGAATGGCATTTCTAGTAGGGATGCCTGCAATGCTGCTGAAAAACATCTGAGGAGATTACAGCAAGCCAGAACAAGAGACGAGTCAACACTGTCACTTGGGACAGTGTCACACATTTGCTGTTTTTCAGGGCCAGGTGGAGTCTGTTGTGGGCAGTAAAAGCACTGCCTATAGTGCAAGCCCTTTATTCACTTAGGCATAGTCAGTGTTCATTTCCTACCAGCTGATGACAGACAGGGCCACTGCTAGAAACTCCTACGTTGTCACCAGTTACCAGAAAGGTCTTTGGACTTGTGTGTCCCTGTGGGTTCAGAGGCCACCACAGCAGGCTGAGGATTTGTGGTGCTGTGCAAAACACAGCAAACATGCTGGAGGGCTGCTCTGCTTCTGGTGGAATTCCTGGCTGTCTTCTCATGCTGAGCATTATTGACATAGCAGCTACTGTCTTCCTCCAGTGTTTAGCTAGGATCTTTTACTGTGCTTTGAATTTCTGTTTCATCACTTACCCAACTGCAGTCATAATAACTAAACATTTCTTTGAAGGTAGTTCCATTATGTAAGCTTTTTTCATTTCTAACATTTTTAATATGTATATATGCATGTGTATAGCCAATTCTTTGGTTTTGTGTGTGCAGGTGTGGCAACTATTCTATATGAGTGCCGGTTGGGCTGCCTGGAAAACAACGTCCCACAGCAGACTGTTGAATATATTGAGGCTCTGGAGTTGATGTTTAGTATGTTTAAGACCACTATGTATGCAGGTGCTATTCCCAAATGGCTTCGTCCACTTATTCCAAAACCCTGGAGAGAGTTCTGCAGATCCTGGGATGGACTCTTCAAATTTAGTAAGATTTAGTAGTAGAAAAGTTCAGCTGTGTTTCTGCAGGTTCTGTGTGTGTTTGACGGGACGTGCTGCATTTCTCTTCTAAAATTGTGAGAAGACATTGTGGCAGAAGTAAGTTTCATATTATACACAGACTGGCCAGGGGAACTGTTTGAAAACATATTCTATTGAAAAAGAATTTTACCAGTACACTTCAGATATTCCCCTATTTTATACTGCTGGTTTTTTATTTGTCTTCATCTGTTTCAGCACCTAGTCACCACTGCAGGTCTGAGTTCTTTGCCAAGGTTTTGTCTTAAGTCACTCCAGTTTTAATGAGGTCAGCAAGTTTTCAGTCAGGCCTTCTGACAAGTAATCACCACTAAAACTGACTAGAAAGTTAAAAAATTGGACTCTAGCAATGAATTAAACTCTTTGTGGCGTTTGTTTATACACATACAAGCATGTCAGTTGACATAGAAGTACATTGCTGTACTACAACATGGTTTTTTTGTAAATTAAACATTCCAGGCAACTATATGAATCAGCTTTCATGGAAGTAAGGAGTTGTATTTGCAGTTCTTTTTTATTTAATATTCTGGAGTGTTAAGAAAAACCGAACTCTCATTCCCTCTCTAATGTTGAAAGCTGTCTGCATTTTCATTTTTTTGTGAGGCATTAACTTTCTGAGGAGTTTTCCTCTTTTTAAAGCCCTTGTTTGACTGAAGATGCTGTTTGGAGTCACTAAAGTATAAATGGGACTGAGGGTGAAATTGCTCAAAATGCCATACACTGAAGTTTTTCAGTTTTGATTGTTACTCAATGCTCCTCAAGTTCTGTGGCTTTGACCTTCTGGTTGCTGCTACACGTGGTAGCACCCTCTGTGTGCTGAGTTGCAACACACTCTGCAGAGTTCACCACTTCTTGCAGAGTCATCAGAACACAAGCCAGGTGGGTGTAAAGATTTGACCTGGAGCTTCCTTCACTCCCTGACAGAAACTGTTGTCTCATTCTCATACTACCAAGTTCCTGTCAGCTCAGTCATGGTACTGTAAGTACCCAAGGGCCTCAAGATACTAAATTTTTTTTTTCCTGGCTATGTAGTGTGGTGTGAGGGAGAAATGTCATTCCTGAATGGAACCAGCAGAAAAATAAAAACGGAGGCTTAACAATTTTTTTGAATCCCAAAGGTCAAATCCATGTTGACAACAAATTGAAGGCTATTCAGTCTCAGCTGGACCAAGGAGAAGTAGTGAATGGTGGGCTACTTACATACCTCCTAGTGAGTAAGGAACTTACTTTGGAAGAGATCTATGCCAATATGACTGAAATGCTTCTGGCAGGAGTGGACACAGTAAGCTTGTTATCATTTTTCTTGTGCATAGTGTTTTTGTAAACCAGTATTATTCGCAGCTATTTTCAGGGGGGTTGCATTGTTTATAAGGACTTAATTTCAGACACATTTAAGTCATGACATCTTTAAAGTGATACAAAATACTTCCTGCACTGTATAATCTCTCTACTGGAATGAAGTCAGTGTCTTGTTTTAGCTGTGATATATAGGAACCCATCACTTGGAGCCTGTTCCACAGTTTATTAAACAGATAAAATAGCAATTGGCTTTACATTTCGCTTGAATTTTACATTTTCTTTTACTAGTTTGCATATCTGGTTGGTGTTTGTGCTCCTTTAGGAAGACCACAATAGAAAAGACTGCTGAAAGCAGTGTGAAAAAAATTGATCAATAAACTCATATGGAGAACTCAGTAAAGGATTTTCACATATGACTAATTCAGTCAACTGGAACACACATCATGGATCAGATACCTGGTTTCTGCTGGAGTATTTTCTTTTACTAGTTTGCATATCTGGTTGGTGTTTGTGCTCCTTTAGGAAGACCACAATAGAAAAGACTGCTGAAAGCAGTGTGAAAAAAATTGATCAATAAACTCATATGGAGAACTCAGTAAAGGATTTTCACATATGACTAATTCAGTCAACTGGAACACACATCATGGATCAGATACCTGGTTTCTGCTGGAGTGGGAG